CATTGGATTTAACGTCGTCGTCTCCAAAACTGTGATTCCGATTATTTTTCAAATATTTACAAATATCTTAAAATTCTTTGGACACTTTCGATTTGTGTAACAAATCTCTAATTTTGGGCTTTTAAAAATATGACCATATTTAAAACTTACCTAAATCTACCTCGCTAGAAGATCACTTTAACCGTTTAGCTTTATTATGTGTGTCCATCCAAATATAGAATTAGATATAGACGAAATCATAAAACGATTTTCGAATAAAAAGACAAGTATAAGAAAGAAAATACAAAATTCGTACCAGACAATAATAATAAAGCCATCATCAGCCCTGAAATATAAATAAATTAAAGGATTAATAAAGTTATGTGATTTTAGTTTAAATTAAATTAAAGTGCAATGATTCTTTCAAATTTGTTTAAAATATTAAATATCAGAATAGATAGTGCGGTTTATATGTAAAATTTACATATACATATTTCTCTTTCTTAGAACTAATTCTAAATCTGCCAATGGGATATTGTTGTACTATATTGTCACGTCAAGCGTGTTTTAATAAAGGGACTATCTATGTCCCGGGAGTTGAATAACAAAATATAAAACTCTGTGCCTACATAAAGTAAGAATTCTATATAGCCTTAAACTTGGCTTCGTAGCCCTTAACTGTATAAAGGTTATACTCTTGATGTTAGAATACCCAACTCGTCCCTGAAGAAAACACAGTGTTTTCAAAACAAATATAATTTAAAACGATTATACAAAATATCTCCTAACTCGACATACACAAATATAGGGCTCAATATATTAACACTCCAACAAATCTTGGGCACATGTCACAATCCTTAGCTAACTATTCAAAACGCAATTATTCAAAATACAAAAAAAACTTTTAATTTAAACTATAGAGATCTTGAGCTGGAGCTGCTACTAGGAATATCCTACAAGGGGGTCTCCTATGGGGAGGATCCTTTCCTGTGAAAAAAGCCCTGCGCGTCCTCTCGACATTACCTTTATAACTTCTCCATAGTTTATTATTGTGAAACTAATATTTAGTAAATATTAAATAACCAATCTTGCATTTAAAACAAATTGTCGACATATTTAAACAAAGTTATATGTACAGGATGTTATTTAAATAATTAATTAAAATTATAAAAAATATGATTTATACGAGGAAGCGTGACAATATAAACAATGATATAGTTCTACCACAGCATTTTATGCTGTGGTTGTGGTAATGAATATCTTGAAGAAAACATTTATTTTTCTTCAAACCATTTTTATTTTTGACTTTCTAGAAGATGGAGTAGTAGTCAGACGAAAACCCGGCAGTTGTCCAGTGTGCCATAACGATGTTTGGACAGCAAAATATACAGTATGTGGATGGATTTTGGCTTTGGTATTTTTCCCATGTGGCATTATAGCCTGTTGTTGCTTGAAGAAGAAAAAGTGTTCAAAATGTGGATATACTGTTCGCTAAATGATTTTTTTTATTAATAAATTCCCCATGTAAAGCATTTATGTTTATTACAACCTCAAGATCAATAGGTAATTTTATTCTAACTTAATTTTAATGGTTAAAAAACTATTTAAATATGTTATTCATAATTATATAAATTTTAAATGTATAGCAAGTCGACAGAAACTGTTAGATTGTGGAATAAATAAACATTAAATGTAATGATTAACATGATTTATTTTGATAGTTTTACAAAATATCTGACTACAAAACTGGCTCAGTGATAGTACATAGTAAACGTAAAAGAAGAAGCTAATAAAATTATAAACTTTAACAAAAACAAATAAATAATCATGCGATAGAGAGTTATTATTATTATTATTATTATTATAACAATAAAATTATCTAACGTGCATATATATTGTATTGGTTCTATCCAATACCCTCGTGATCTGAGGTTCTACCCTGGACACACAGAACTATTCCAATATTAGACAAGCACCAAGAGTTACGGTTTCAATGTCTTCCTAAAATAATTTAAAAAAAATCAGTACTGCAATAAAAATCTTCGGCTTCTCGTTTTTCTTCTATACCTCTCAAACACCTGTTCCAACTCCTGCTTTTCTCTACCTCTGATTTTTCTGCCTGCTGTAACTCCTGCTTCTTTATACCTCCTGCTCTCCTGCTCAAACTCCAATCTTGTTTTCTTATCTGTTCCTTTTTAATAAAATTCCTTTACTTTATTCATCTCTCAAATCAATTCATAAACTATCAATTTTAACATCTTATACGTTTTTACTAAAGATGTAACGTCAAAATGTCGTCTAACTACGTCATTATGACATTTTTTTTGATCACTTCTCACAATCAACGTCTATTATTGGTTTCATATGGAAAAAGAAATGGAATAAAAATATATAAATAATTTAATTATTTATTTCAGTATTATTTACAAATTTCGCGGTAAAAAAATTAAAACGTATATAAAACAAAATACAAATTTTCTATTTTTAAATAAGTACAATTAATTAAAACATATTTTGTTTAATTAATTTACAATATCACATGCAGTAGACCTACATAAGGTTTCTAAAATCAGAATAATTAAAAAGAAGAAAAAATAACAACGGTTTAAAACATTTGTTGTTTTATTAAAAAAGCAGTGGGTTAGGTTAGGGGACAAAACGTAAAAATATTTCAGTTTTAATGAGATTTTGAATTACTTTGATTTTAATCTATCTACGATTATATAAATAGAAGTTATTCCAAAAAAACTGGAATAAATATTATTTACATATAAATTAAGCGCTTAATGTTAAATAAAATTATTATTTAAATATTCGTTTTATTTTATATTTTTGCACTGTCAGTAACAAGTAAAATAATTAGTTTTAGTATTTGTTACGTCATTGACTTATAAAAACAACAATTAAAAATATAATATCGATTTTTTACGTTAATCAATAAGTATTGGAATGCAAGGCTAACGGTAACTATCAAAATTACAATTTTTAATTTTAATGAATATACAGTATCATCCAAAAATTAGATATATACCTACTTGGTTTGGACAAATTTATTTTTGATATTTAAATTTATACCCAACAATCAACTGCTGGGAAAATGATGGCCCGTTGCTGCAATTGATGGGGAGATGAGCATGACAATATATTTTCATGGTTTGTGGGCCATCAATCATTAATTGATGTTGGCCTTGCGTTGGGGGCAGTCTCATAAGTTTGTGATGTTTAGGAACTCACAATTTTAAATGGTATCTACAAAATGCAAATGGGTTTTAGCTAAGGGAAACAAAAAATTGGGAATAAATTGATAAAAGTGTATTTTTTAACAGTTTATAACCTATTCGTAATAAGTTTTGTAAGTTGCTGGATGTTCATAAATACAAGATCAGTACCTATAGTACAAAAGAAGAAAAATAAAAATATTTAGACATTTTTACGAATTTCGTTTTGTTGGTACTTGAAAGTGGTGTATTTATGTTTTAAATAACTAATCTGAAAGTTGATAAGCATATCAAAAACCCATTTATACTTGAATTTGAAGTTTGTGCCAAAATGAGGGTCTAATTTAAAAAAAAAATGATTTAATTGCCAATGTTTCAATGATTTATTTAATTATAAGTATTGAAATTATCAGAAATTCAAACTAGATCTTTATTTACCAATATACTACTGAAATATACAAAATAGTCAATATTGGCCCAGCAGTTAACCATCGAAGTTTTATTAATTAAAATAGCAAAGGGTTGTAAAGGCCCTTTAACTGTATGAGTAAAGTGACACTTTGATGTTAAAATCTCTGTAACTGGTATTGATGACAAAATGACTGTGGCTCTACATAGGTATGTCGGCACTCTGTAGGTAAAAGTTATAATTAGAGGCAGACAGTTACTTCCTCAGATAAAAAGGTTTATTAGGTACTTACAGTGTCCGACAAAAGGTCTGCACCGTATAGAAAACGTTTTCCAATCATAATTTTTGAAGGATATTCACATTTTCGGGTCCCCTGAATCGATTTTGACCATTATCTCGATGGTGTCTGTCTATTTTTACGTTAACTTAAAAACTGAGAGAAAAAACAGCAAATTTTAAATTCAAGTTTTAATTTACCATATGAAGACATAAATAAATTGTGGGCTTAATGGGAAAATTTGGAGATATTTTTTCTAGGGTAAGGTATATTTGATTTGGAAAGAAAATTATTCATAAAAGAGTTATTTGTGATGTAATTCTCTGTTTTTTATCGTAATGGAACGTATTGGAGATATTTGTGGAAAGGTGCTAAAATTGATTCCACTCAATCTTTTATTTGACAGTGAAGTGTCTGGAAAATTGTTATCTTTAATTTTTATTATTAATACTTTTTGATTAGATGGACTGCAGCCCAAAATTTAATATACCGAAAACATGAGATTTTCATATTAGTATTATCGCCACATTTTTGAATAGCACTGTATACAAAAAACAAATACAATTCTGGTCTTTCACGAAAAAAGTGGAATTAAATGTTTCATCTATTCAGGACAATGAGCAAAATGAGTTAAAATATCAAAAAACGCTGGCTATAAAAATATCTAAAAGTAAGATTCAAAACATTTTTTGAACGCAGATAAGATCCTAGACGACGAATATACAGTTATTTAGAAAATTGAAGGAAAATACATCGATACGTCCTTCATTTCAATCCTAAACAATTCCAGGACTAAATGGCACTCCAGATATTTGATTTACGACTAGTTTCGCTGTATCTGGGGCATCATATTGTAGACTTAGAAAGCTAATGTAGAATGTCTAATCCACACCAAAAATAGGAACATAATCCTCGAGACAGTAGTTTAAAGTTGTAATTGATTACCATTTTTATTATATAAATTCTAAAAAAATATTTCGTTGCCATTTCTTGATACTTTAACATCTACAAAACATTGAGCGTCCCTTTTCCAAAACGACAAAATTGTTTCTAACCATTCCAAGCGGTTTTAAAAAATACTATTCCAGTTCTGTGATGTGCTGGATAAATGTCATTCCTAGTACCGTTCACTTCTACTGTCTGAATACTTTCCAGACAGTTTACTGACGGAATATCGATCACTGTATCTATCGTCTCCGTATTTGTCTTCAGCCTTGTAGTGAATCTCCGGTGATCCTATTGTCTTTTGCCAGTGATGGGTCCAGTAGAGTTCATCGGGATTTATTTCATCAGGTCGCTTGAAGTCTCTGCAGATAACTACGCAGTATATAAGGCTTCCGATGAGCGTGAGGAAGCCGAAGATCAGGAAAATGATTCCCAGGACCCTGAAATGATTAATAAATACATTTAGTGAATGTTGATAGTGTATTGAATATAATTAAAACATTTTTAACTGCAAGTAGTTTTATTGTAAGACTCCAGATACAAATATGTAATGTGGCTCGTCTGCTCTCGTTGCCGCCAGTGGCCAGTGACGCTTGACGTGCCTCTATTAACTATTAACATGATAGATACGATCTACACAATATCTGTGTCCTGAGGCTACATCTACATACTTTGGTGCAAAGAAACTAATCAAAATGGTTTAATAACAAATGAAGGCCTCTGAGAATGACAAATCAGTGTTGTCAAACTATCAAACAACTATTAAACTATAAAAATATCAACTAATAAACTATCATACTGGTTTATAGAAATAAAACTCTTTTTCATACTTACCATACATATATGGGTTCGAAAAATTGTATAACTATGACGAATCCTAAAGTAACGAGTATTATTCCCAAATTGAGAAGCAACATCAGACAGCACATCCCTTTGATGTTGGGACAGAAAGGATTAGGGGCAGCCATGGCTTCCATGCGCATACCTGCTTTTCTGGAACCTCTGGATTTCCCCGTACTCGCTACCGATGGGGCCATGCCGCTCCTGTACGACATGTGGCTCGGGGCCCGTACTCGAGAATTTCGACTAAAAAAAAAAATTGTAATGATTATAACAAACATTATTAGACAATCTTTTTACACACACTTTTATTGTTATTTTCTTAGGACACACTTATAAATATGATGTTTTCCCGAATATTAGTTTGATAAATTAATTTTATTTATATCTGGAAATTTCGGCCAAAATAAGTTAATTTAAGTATATTTATATTCACCCAATAACATTTCCTTCGGAGATGGTGTTATAATTAAAGCAAAAATCAGTGTGTTTAATTACATGTAATCATTTTTAGAACTTAGAACACCTGAAACATTTTTAAAAATAAAATACCCCGAAGACGATGTTCAAAATGTATGAATAACAAGTTTATTTCGATTTCTGCCTAAAATAATATCTTTATGTAGAGATGGAGTTCATAATTTAAACACAAATGAGTTCCTTTCATTATTTTTAATAATTTTTAGTATCTGCTTTGGACCTTGGTGGTTGATGACCTCTTCCCATACAACACACCAAATCCCAGAGATATCCGCAGAATATCTTTTGTGGATATCCAATATATCCACAGGATATCAGAAATATTCGGTAGATCTAATATGGATATCCAAATGTCCATTTATATCCAGGATATAGAAGATATCCTAATGGATATTCAGCAAAATATCTAATGTGTATCTTCCAGAAAATACAAGAAATCACAGAGATATCCACAGAATATATTATGTGGATATTCAATATATCCAATATGGATATCCTACCAAATGTCTATATCCCAGGATATAGAAGATATTCGGATATTCACCAAAATATTTTATGGATATCTTTAGTAGAGGTTCATAAGTAACCAATGATTATTGAATAACGTCGAAAGAAAATAGCAGAGATTAAAAATATTTTCAACACTCTGCCTTTGATTTTGGCCACTAAGGAGAAAGTCATCCTTATTAGGACTCTTCAGCAATAGATGGAAATTCTCGACTCCAGCCTCTAATGGAGTCTGTAGGACAAAAATTTCGATCGAACTCTATTACGGCGGGTCGAGCATGAGTAGATGCGATAGTGGTATCGCCATCTATACTTAGTAAGCAGAATCAAATAACATCTAGTGGATATCCACGATGGTTTGCGTTCGCGCCTAGACTTTAATATATTTAGTGGATGTTCATGGGATATTGAATACACCTTAAAAAAATTAATTTTAAATATCTGAACGGTACTATTAGCCACAATGGCGAGAACAATGGCGTAATTTTTTAATAATTTGTTATATAATTACTATTATTTATGGACATTTGCATGTCTATAAATTACATCTCATGGATATAAAATATATATCTACCATGGACTGGACATTCAGTGGATATTGGGATGTTCAGTAGATATCCAAAGGATTTGGTGTGCTGTCTGGGTTATGGGAGTTGGAGAGAGAAAACTTATACACGCAAGCATTTGTAGACGATATAAGCATCGTAGTAAACGGCAAATTTGGGTCTGTTGTATCCGAAAGGATGCAGCGGGCACTAAATATCGTCGAAAGATGGTGCCGAAAAAAGGGATTGTCCACAAACTCGATCAAAACCTCTTTTGTTGCATTCACAAGAAAAAGGAACCTTCAAGGAATGAGCTTTATAAGTGGGAACAACATCTAAAAATGGCAAGAGGTTCAATATCTTGGAATTACTCTTGATGACAAGCTTAGTTTTTGCAGCCATATCGAAAAAACATCAGAAAATGCTGTAAGACGGATGGTAGGAAACATATGGGGGCTTAAACCAAAAATGATGCACTGGCTTTACACTATGGTTGTAGTACCTGTTATAACTTACTCATCAGTCATATGGTGGCACAAGACTAAAAGCATAACAGCTAACAGACGACAGCAGCAGTGGAGCTACTGCTAGGTCTTCGTCCACTACACCTTGTAGCGGAGGAGGCTATGGCGGCGGCATACAGACTATTTACTAATGGATTTAGATGGGAACTTTCGAGAAAAGGATACTCCCACAATGATATTTGAGAAATTAAAACAAAATCCGGTACTAAGAATGTCATCGGATAGAATGCCCATTATTCACGACTTCAGGAAACCTTTTGATATTCAAATACTGGAAAGGACCAAAAGCCAGGAAAATAGGGAAAAACAATACGAATCAATCTGGTATACAGATAGTTCGAAAATGAAAAACAGCGCAGGAGCTGGGATCTACCATTTGAACTAAGGGAGGATCATTAGTCTGAACCTGGAGTCACTGACAACAGTCTTCCAGGCTAAAGTAACAGCAATAAATGCCTGCGCCAAAGTCATGCTAAATTACTCTTTTAGACAGACAGTCAGGCAGCCCCTAAAGCACTGAAAAGGGTAGAAGTACAATCTAAATTAATACTTGATTGCCAATAGTCCCTTTAGGCCCCGGCAGAACATAACAAGGTCACCCTCGAACGGGTGCCGGAACATGAGGGAGTGTTTGGAAACGAGAAAGCAGACCTTCTAGTAAGGAAGGCAGCGGAAAGAACTCGTATTGGACCAGAACCCACATGTGGTATCTCATATACCAACATGTTAAATGGGTGTTAAAGGAAACAACAAATATAGAACACCATAGTCTCTGGTTGGAACTTCTTGGGCTTAGAAATTTCAAAAGATTTATAGTGGGGCCATCCACGAGCAGACAAAATCAACTGCTAAGCCGTAATAGGACTCCTTACGGGATACTGCGGCCTTAGAAGACACCTAAATCTCTAAGGAATATCTGATGACTCCCTATGTAGAATATGTGAAGAGGAGGATGAAATGGTACTTCGGGGTACAATATCCAGAACCTGAAGAAATCGCGAAAGCGCTCATCAGACATATTCTTGAATTCATCAAGAAAATCAATCTGATGGGATAGAAACTGTGAGGGGTACAATAGGCCTACAGCTTCAGTGTGGGCTTTGAACCACGCCCTAATTCAAATAGGATAGGATCTGGTGTAACTGGATAATACCCATGGAGATGATGTCGAAAGTTCAAGAGTAATTAGTTTTAATACTTGCTAGGAACTAGATCCCTTGGTGTAGCATTAGATAATAATAATAATGATGATATTAATAATGCAGAAAGTATTATGAATTATTGGTTTGAAAAATTATTATTACTGGAACGAGGTATGTATGGGGTTTCATAATATTTATAAAAATTATATGGCTCTTTTTAATATCTTATAAAAATAAGAACCCAACTTGGAATATTATATATTTTAAACAAAAAAATTATTTATGGACACATTATTTAGACAGACGACAGATGATCCAATTTAGATAGATGGAACAATTTTGAAATTATTTTCACGAATACTCATTGCGCAAAGCAGAAATCTCGGTATTTAATTTCCTTATTGATATATACAAAGCGCGGGACTTGAATCTAGTACCCTTTAACCCGTTATATCCCGGAACCCAAGTGAGAGTAATGAGCTGATTACGTAAGTTCAGCGCTATCTGACATGATGATAATCTCTTGTCTACGATAATTTCTCTCGATGTTAAACTGGATATAATTATCAATGGTGTGAATTTCCGCCTGGAAGATGCTTGGGTATTTTCCCAAACTTTAAGAGTATCTGGTTCTAGGCACATACACTCCTATTCCAGTTCTTTCTATGGCTTTGGAACCATCCTTATACCACTGAATAGCATGTCTTTCGGTTTAAGCATGATGAATTCCTGGCTCAATTCTTTCTTGCTCTGGGGTTTTGAAGTTTTTCACAAAACTGTACTTTTTTTCTTCGGTCCTGCAGCTAGTAGACTTTCGTCTGATTATTCCGTTCCCGATCATAATATATCGTGTCCTTTTTGCCACCTCTATCATTGGCAGTTACTGGGATTTAAATGTTAGATTTAATGGAACAAATTGTTCTTCAAATACACATTAATTTTTTGTTTGTGTTTTTAATTTTAAATAAACTAAACAACAGGTGTTGGAATGTGAAATTTGTTTTTTTTTACATTTGGTGATATAAATTAAAAATCCTTTAACATTCTAGAAATCCTTTCAAATCCTACATACTAAAAACTCTACTATCACAGCATTTCCTGGACATCACTTCGAAGCGTTTTACCATGTTTTCTTCGACAATTAAAATTAATTGTAAAAGTAACAAGAACCGAAGAAACGAGACTGTTTCTTCTAATTAGTACTCACTCACATAATATTTCTTATCCGGCCGATCGTGATATAACAATGGGATAATGGCGGCAATTTTTCGTTCGATTATAAAAGTATAATACTTTCTATTTCGTTGTGATAATATTGCGCGAAGATGTGAATTGGTTCGGTCATATTTAAAATTTATATGAGAATTTTGCTCCGCAACAATAAGTTATTTATTGCGTTACATACGTATATAATACTCGCGAGAAGTCATTTTTAATATCGTATTGAGAGCACGAGAAAAACGGTTTTGCACGATTAATGGCTATCCTTTTAATATCTGTCTCTGTTGAATACACTTTTAGCAATCCATATAATGGGATTTGCTCTTTTAACAAAGTTAAATAGTTTTTGATGATATTCCAGCTAGCCTATAACGTTGGGAAGCCTTTCGGCGATGTTGCATATGTTTTAACTGTCTATACAGTCAGCATCAAAATTCTGGTTGTAAATATGGTAAAAAAGTGTAAAAAATGTGGCAAAAAACATACAATATGCCATCTAATTCAGACAATCAAGTAAATGTACTGTCGAGCAACATTATTCATTGTCTTGCTTTATTATTAACTGTTATTGTTCAAATTTTCTGGAGTTGGATACAATTGTCGAGCCATTTTGGACAATGGTTCTGAATCTAACTTTATTACTCATTATCTAGCTTCGAAGTTTGGCCTTGTCAAGGAACGTAGTGATATGTCCGTGACAGGAATTGCTTAGATAACTTTAAGCATAAAACATAAATGTACTTTATCAATAAATTCATTGCACTCTTCTTTCTCAACTTCAATTAAATGCTTGGATACTTCTTCTATATGTGAATAGGTTCCAGGTTCAACAATTGTACATGTTCCATCCTGTATATACCTTCTAATAGGTACAGGTCTCTTCTGAGGCATTTTATGCGTGGGACAAATAAAATTATATAGGCTAACCAGAACCTGTTCTTCAAAACACACGACTTGACTGGATTATCTCGGGTCCTTTGGCCAAATTAACTTCACAGAATTTAATTTGTTATCTTTCTCAAAATGTCAATCCTGATCTCTCAAGGTTTTGGGAACTAGAAGAATGTTTCACAAGTCAGATCCTCTTCAAGGAGGAGTTATATTGCGACAATCATTTCATATCGACCCATCGTAGACGGTAGATTTGTCATACAAATCCTTTTCAAATGTTGCCTCGAGTGTAAATTTCATAATAATTATACTATGAAAGAATTATATAAATCTTTTATGAACGAGTACTATATATCAATGGATCACATGTCAAAGGTTGAGTCATTGAAGTCTCCAATCAACTATTATTTGCCCCATCATGGGATATACAAAGAGGATTCTCTAACAACTCGTCTTCGACTGGTATAGGATGGATCTTCTGCTACTAGTTCCGGTGACCTTCTGATGGTCGGACCTGTAGTTTAAAATGATCTTCTGTCAATCCTTTTAAAATTCAGATAATATACTTACGTTGTTTCTGCCGACATTGTCAAAATATACCTTCAAGTTCCCGTCTGTTCTTCTTAGAGACACCTACAACAGATCTTGTGGAGATTTGAGATTTTTTAAGAAATAGCTAATGCTTTTAAACTGAACTGAGCAAAGAGTTACTATAGTTAGATGGAGTTCTCACTATGAAAGGAAAACATGTGGGAGTGATGGTTAAAATAAATCAGAATGAATCATTTATTTGTTTTTCCTTGGCAGCTTTATGGCTATTGACACAGAAACATTATGAAAGGACTAAATTAAATTTAAATTAGATGCTACCACTATCTTATTAAAATTATTACTATAACGGAGAAATATTGACATTAATAATCTATTTATATTTTAATGTATAAAATTCATCAAGAGAACCCAAGTCATTCAAATTTACATGGACTTAGAGCTTCTAATGGAATCTATTGGAATAATAGGTACTAGATAGGTATACCTGGTGATGTGGGTTCAAATCTCACCTGGAGCAGAATTTTTTTTCAATTTTTCTGTTTAGGAAAGGAATAATTCAAAATATTTATTTACCTATATTCGGAGGGAGCCTTGTAAGCCCCGCTGGTTACGTAAATATCGGATCCATTTGTGTCATAGCCGCTTCCTCTGCTCAACGCCGACGGTGCTCTTATGGGTGTGCTGTGGTTTCCATTTTGGTAACTGTTGCTTTTTTGGTGGTTGTGATATTTTCTTCCGTTTCGTTCGTTTACTATCGTATATGGCTGAAAATAAACACAATCAATTATATATAGCAAAATGATGTCACCTATTGAGATGGTGCCAATGTTCTTTATAAAAATCGATTCGTTTAGTCAATTTTACTAATATTTAGCACTTAGAACACCTTGAGAATCATTACAAATAAAATACCTATGAAGATGGTATTCACAAATGTATAAAAAATTAGTTCGTTTCATTACTTTTGACAATTTTTAGAATTTAAAACAGCTGGAGCATATTTATAAATAAAGTTGAATAATAGCAAGCCAATTTCGATGATGTATTCCTATTTACATATGCACGGACGTCACCTACAGATATGGTGTTTATAATTTTGACAAAAATTAGTTTGTTTTATTACTATAAATCATTTTTAGTACCTAGAACACCTGGAGTGTATTTAGAAATCAAATAGACATGGAGATGATGTCCAAAAATTTAAACAGTAGCTAATTTATTCCTGAGTACTTAGAATATTATATCTTAAGGATATGATGCCACTCACGGAGATGGAGTTCATAATTGCATTACTTTAAACTGTTTTTAGCACTTGGAATATGGCTGAAAATGAACATAATATATGACACTGAATGATTTAACCATTATCAATAAATTATAAACAGCAAAATAATGTTACCGATTGAGTCGGTGCCAATGCGTTTCATAAAGAAATATTCGATTCGTCAATTTTAATAATTTTTAGCACCTAGAACACCTTGAGAATCATTAGAAACAAAATACCTATGAAGATGATGTCCACAAATTTATCAAAAATTAGTTTGTTTCATTACTTTTGACACTTTTTAGAACTTATGACACTTTTTAGAAGTAAAGTTTAATATTAGCAAGCCAATTTCCAAGATTTATTCCTATTTATGTATCACAGGGACGTCACCTACGGTGATGGTGTTCATAATTTTAACAAAAACTAGTTTGTTTTATTACTATTAATCATTTTTAGTATTTAGAACACCTGGATAGTATTTAGAAATCAAATAGCCATGGAGATGATGTCCAAAAATTTAATAATAATTTATTCCTATTTCTTTACCCTATGATGCCACTCACGGAGATGGAGTTCATAATTTCATTACTTTATACCGATTTAGCACCAGTAATATGGCTGAAAATAACATATGACAATGAATAATGTAACATCATTTAATTATATACAGTAAAATTATGTTACCTATCGAGCCGCTTTCATAAAAATTTATTGGGTTCGTCAATTTTAATCAATTTTAGCACCTAGAACACCTCGAGAATACTTGGAAAAAAATATCTATGAAGATGATGTCCACAAATGTATCAAAAATGAGTATTTCAATGCTTTAAACAACATTTAACACTTGAAACAACTGAAGTATATTTGGAAACAAGATGCCCATGGAGATGATGTCCAAAAAATTAAACTTAGAAATGTATTTGGATGATTAAATCTTAGTTTCCTCATTCGAATATTAGTTCTGAAGGATACTATGCCATCCGCGGAGATGGTGTCCATAATGTTAACAAAAATGGAGTTGTTTGATTATTTTTAACAGTTTTTAGTAACTGAAATATTACTGATAATATACACACTACAATTAATCATTTGATCATCATCAATAAAATTATATAGGGTAAAATAATGTCACCTATGGAGATGGTGTCAATGTGCTTGATAAAAAATTGTTTCATAAATGTTTAGTACCTAGAATACCTTGATAATAATTAAAAGACAAAATACCTATGAAGATGATGTCCACAAATTTATCAAAAATAAGTCTGGTTTTACAATGTTTAATACTTAGAACACCTGGAGCATCATTAGAGATAAAGTGAACCTCAAAGGAAGTAATTATTTCATTTAGAGCTCGTGTACATAGTTTTATTTAAATTTTTACAACCTGGAATAACATTAGAAAAAATACCCATGAAGATGATGTTCAAAAATTATTTATTTTCCATTAAATTAGCTTATTTATAGCTACAAAAAAAAACCATCAAATATTAATAAACCATTCCAACAAAACCAAAATGATGAATGACTTCAATTTTCTGCTAATAACTAATAAATCTGCCAAAGCAAAAATTTATATAAATGCATTTCCCTATCAAACGGCTATCGGTTTAATGCCTCAATATATTTCAATTAGACCTGCATACATCATGAATACTAGCCAGGCATACCAACCAACTGGACTTAACTGTATACTGTCTGTTTGACTAGTTGACTACACACTTATAGCAGGACCGTTTTAAGAATTTCGAAGTAGAATGTTTCGAAAAACTGTCGCACTCTATAAAAACTAAATCATTGTTAACGTAACAGTCGACTTAATTGTTAATTTAAATTTATTTATTTAATTTACTTGATTCACGCTTGAGGTTGGTGTCAAAAGTTTAAACAAAAATGTGTTTAATTTTACGTTTTAGTACTCGAAGCAAGAGAAACAGGGTTAGAAATACAATATCTATGGAGTGGATGTTCATATATCTATCAAAAATGAGACTGTTTTAGAACTTAAAACACCTGGAGCACCATTAGAAATAAAATATACATGAAGAAGATGTTTATAAATAAATATCCTCATTTGTACAAAAATATTGTGTTTTTATCACACGATTTCCAATTTATTTAATACTATTCGTATTTCATCATTTTTTATTTTTGCGGCAGAAAACATTGTAAAATAAATTGTTAGAGAAAGTTCAAATATTCTAAAAAAGAATAATAATGCGAATAATGACCTAATTGTAATTGGTAACAAGTTATTCCAATAAAAAAACACATTTAAAGACGAGTTTAAAATTCGTTTCTCTTCTATATCTCCTTTTTCTTTACTTTTACTTTCACTTGACTAAAAGAAATGATTTTATTTCGAAACTGACGATGGAGCCCTTAGAGCCGGTCCTGGAACGTCGTAACTCTAACTGTTCCGGATTAGACAAAGCTGTTTATTTGCATGAATCAGTTACTTCCTGGGAACGAGAAAGGAAACTTTTAAAACGATTTCAACACTTCTACTACTAGATTTAATTGACAAAAGAACGTGTGAAATCCACGTCAAATTGGAACCTACGTCTTTTCCGAGTTGTACCAGGTAGTAAGTACGTTTTATGAGCCGATAATGAGACAATGGGACAAGACGATCGAATTTAATGGTTTAACGGTCTTTTAGATGAGAAATAGTCGATTCGTTTAAAGATTGTTTGTAATATATTTTTTATTACCTGGAAAATTATTCAAATTTACCCATTTACCATATTTATTTTAGTAAAAATGAAATTAATACAATGACTATTTGGTGATTCTTTGATTTTATTCTTAAAATCTCGTTCTGTCAGATATTGTCATCTGTAACGTCAATTGTGTGAGCGTGATAACATCATCGATGATTTTTTAAATAGAAATGTCGTTCATGCGATATATCATTTGAAAGATTAACTAGAATTATGCAGAAGATAAAGCCCTACCAAGATCTACTGGCACCAAAACTAGTACGTTGCTCAAAATATAGTTCCGCTTTTTGGAAAGTTCTGTTGTTTTATAGAAATCCAACTTTTATTAGTGAACCTAAAAGTGGCGCAGTCAGTAGGATTGCCTAACGGTACAGTCAGTAGGATTGCCTAACGGTACAGTCAGTAGGATTGCCTAATGGTATGACTATAAAAATCACGTCAAATCGAAATGGCGAAAATTGATGAAATAAACTAACCAAAAAGTGTACATACAAAGACCCAACCATAGATTGCTTTATTGGTAACTTAGAAACCTATGAAATGTTTAATTTTTCATTCTCAATAATGCTAAATTTAGTTCAAAACGACGCCCAAAATATGACAAATCAATAAAAAATCTTTCTATAAATCAAAACATAATGAAATCTTTGTAAAATGAATAAATTACCTCAATTAAATTTTTCTAGCTATATATAAATAATGAAATATTAGCTTACAATCAACTAAAATTAAAGTCTCAAATAAATAAAATAGAGCATATTTTAGAAACAGCTCAAACCCAAAATAAAAAATCTTTTAAAAGGGTTTATATTCAAGTCACATATCAAATATCAATTATATACTTTGGAAAGTTTTATCATATTTTAAACATTCAATTTTTATTAGCTAACCTAAAAGTTCCACAAACTATTTTAGATATTTTATACGTAGGATCAAAATTTAGATTTCTATCATCAATCTTTAAATTTCCAATTCGTGAAGTCGTATTTTCCGAAATCTAACCTCAAAATTTTTGATTACCCAATTAGAAAGGTCGACGCCGAGAATTTTGTTACTATCTGTCTTTCTGTCGGATACCCCAAAGCCACAAACAAATGAATTGATAATTATCATCAATCAGTGTTCACCTTCGATGCACATTTGACCCCGAAAATTTAATCATGCTCGTCTGGTCGATCAAAGACTAAAAAATGTCAATTCGCCGGGTTTGCCACGGCAACCAGTGGCGGTACTTTTGTTGACATAATAAATATACATAATATTGTTTATTTTCGGTTGAAGGAATAAACAAAATAGTGTTAATTTTATCACTTTTAATCATTAACTACCTAGACCACCTTTGTAAATAGTTACCCTTGAACACGTTATCCATAATTTTAACAAAAATGGGTTTATTTTATCACATAAAAATTTCTTTTATTACCTAGATCACCTGGAGTACTATTAGAAAAAAATACAAAAAAATACACATGAAGATGGTGTCCACAATTTTAATAGAAATGCGATTATTTTGTTACATTTTTACTAGCTAAAACACCTGGAGCACCAATGGAAAAAATTACCCATGGAGATGGTGTCCACAATTTTTAATTAAAAATGAGCATGTTTCGTAATTTAAGTTTCTTAATACTTTAAAAGATTTATTTACAATTAACATTCCCCTTTTCGGATATAAAATTTATTATAAAAATGATAATTTAAATTTTAAACATTAACGTTTCAATGCAATTTTTTATTTATACAGACGAGCCGTCCTAGGATTAAACAAGATGGTGTTTATTTTATCACTTTTAATCATTAACTACCTAGACCACCTTTGTAAATAGTTACCCATGAACACGTTATCCATAATTTTAACAAGAATGGGTTTATTTTATCACATAAAATATCTTTTGTTACCTAGAACACCTAGAGCACTTTTAGAAAAAAAAAATACACATGAAGATGGTGTCCACGATTTTAATAGAAATGCGTTTATTTTGTAATGTATTACATTTTTACTAGCTAGAACACCTAGAGCACCAATGGAAAAAATTACCCATGGAGATGATGTCCAGAATTTTTAATTAAAAATAAGCCTGTTTCGTTATTTAAGTTTTTTAATAATTTAAAAGGTTTATTTACAATTAACATCCCCTTTTTTGGATATAAAATTTATTATAAAAATAATTTCAATGAAATCTTTCTATTTATACAGACGAGCCGTCCTTGGCGATGTACTTGATGGTACATTATGGTACTTATAGAAAAGAGAAACTAGTTAGTATGCGGCAAGGTTTCGATGTTTACGTTTCAAGTACGACTTGTGTAGTACCTATTTACCTACATAAATAAATGTTTATTGCACAGTACCACCATAATTTGTTGTAAAAAATATACGCGAAGTACCACCGACTTTGAAAACTCGTGATTCGCACGATGGAAAGTAAATCCTTTAATTTAAGCCGATTGTGTCACGTAATTTTAATATAATTTAATATACAGAGTAGGATAACCCATAAATAATAAGACAAAATACAGTATGCTTAAATAAAATAAAAATACTTTGAACAAAATATTGGTTTAATTTATTTATTATTGCCATATTATCATAAAAGATAAACTGACTTATACTTATAAATTGAACACGATACGTCATATTTGCCAATTTTTTAAAGTTTTCCACATCTCCTTGGGATTATCTTGCAAACAATCAACATACTAACTACATCTTTTCTACATTTTTTAAATTTAGAACACCTGGAGAACCATTAGTCTATTTTTATGTATGAGAGAGTAATAAAACAGCATTTCTAATGCAAAACTTAGTACGCTCATTTTAAATAGTTTTACAGAATAATCTAAATATTTCCAAAAATTGTAATAAATGTACCTGAGCTATTACAAGTTTTGGGTCTTTTATTGGTCCTTTATATAAGCTGTACAGAACAATAGAAAAAGGTTTGGACAAGCCAAAAGCCTTGGGTATTAAAGATTACATAGCCGTATCTTAAGATTATTTTCAATGAGTACCTATTTGCCAATTTTGTTTTATTTTCATTCCAAGAATTTCTTACAGTAATCGAATTATAAGTAGATAAATACCTTCCCAACAAATTTCACCGAAAATGCGATTATAGGTTTTCCATTTAGTAAGGAGGTCCAAGTTGTGTATTCTTGACAGTTTACTAAATGTTGTTTAGTTGCAACTTGCAAGGTGCAGTGTGAATTCTAGTGTGATCATGGAAAATTTGGAAGGGCCGCGTAAACGACAAAAAATCGGTCCTTTAACAGTTAATGAAAAAACATTAATATTTAATTGTTTTAAATCATTTACAAACAAACATTTATGTAAAAGTGTTGATGACAGAGTGGAATTAGTTAGTAGTACGCTTGGTGTTGGTAAATCTACGATTTACAGAGTTGTTAAAGAAGAGAAATGTGGCGAGTTTCAAACAGCACGTAAAGCTCCAGGAAAACCAAAATTTCAATTAGAAAATCTTTTGAAAGAAAGACTTCGAAGGAAAGTTCTTCTTTAAAAAAGAATTTCCGACAGTAGACAAAGTTCTTGCCACGGTTCGAGATGATAAGGATTACCCTAAAATGAGTCGAAGCACACTATGGAAACTTTTAAAAGAAATGGGTTTTCTATGGAAAAAGCATTCCAGAAAGTCTATTTTAATAGAAAGAAGCGATATTGTAGCATGGAGAAGAAGTTACCTAAAGACTATAAAAGAAATGAGAAACCAAAGAAGAAATATATTTTATTTAGATGAAACATGGATCAACGAGGGACATAAACCAAATAAATTTTGGCAAGATGAAACTGGTATAAGTCGAAGACAGGCTTTTTTAAATAATTTATCTACTGGTTTATATCGACCATCAGGAAAGGGGCGCAGACTAATAATAGTACACATCGGTAGTTCAAACGGTTTTGTTAAAAGTGGTTTATTGACTTTTGAATCTACTCGTACCGGTGACTACCATGAGGATATGAATGCTGATGTCTTTAAAGAGTGGTTCGAACAAATTATAGATCTTCTTCCTCAAAACTGTATAATAGTAATGGATAATGCAAGTTATCACTCGAGACTTATAGAAAAAATGCCCACAACCAAGTGGTTAAAAAAAGATTTACAGAATTGGCTAAATTCAAAGAATATTAAGTTCTATCCCGGTTCTGTGAGAAAAGAACTGTATCATTTGTGTTCCCTTCATAAAGAGAAATTCAAAAAATATGAAATTGTAAAAAATCGTGGGATGACGGTGGTTAGATCACCACCATATCATTGCGAAGTAAACCCGATTGAACTGATATGGGCACAGATAAAGAGAGAAGTTTCAAGTAAAAATAATTCTTTTAAAATGAGTGATGTTAAACAGTTGTTTTTGGAGGCTGTAAATAATGTAAAGCCTGAAAACTGGGAAAAGGCAGTAAATCATACGATTAAAGAAGAAAAGAAAATGTGGAAGTTGGACAATATTACTGATGAAATGATCGAGCTACTCATTGTAAATATTGGTTGCGACAGTTCATCTTCTGATTTCGATTCTGATTTGGATTTGTAGGTAAGAAGTAGTTTTTATATTAAAATTATTATTTATGAACGTAACGTTGTTTAAAAGTCAAAGTTTAAACCCTTATACCTACATAACCCGTTTGACACAATGTTCTTAACATACCTTGTGGAAAAATAAAACATTTTAGAAAAAATTGCACTTTTTTACATTCAGCTGTTTAGAAGTTATAAGCAGGTTAATTAGGTGAAAATATAAGTGTATACTCGAGAAATAACTTCAAAAAATATTTTAACTGTCTACTAAAAGAAGTGGTACGCCTATGGATTACGAACGCTTTATTATTTTAATACTCTCTCATACATAAAAATAGACATAGTAAGAACACTTACCACTGAAGTATATTCTGATAAGGTCCTCTCCGACGGAGCCCTCTGACTCTCCTCTCCATCAGAGTATGCTGCAGTTCTAGGAACATGGACGGGGGTAGGGGAGTGATTGTGCCTTGGGGAGGCGATATAATGATTCTTGGCTATCCTTTTAGCCATTTCGAAAAAAGGCACTCAAGTCGGTATCATCTGAAAATAAAATACAATAATTAGAATCTTCCATGTACTTTCCCTTTTTTTTACTTAAATCATAAATCATTTTTACGACAATGCGATTAAAATCTTTAAAGACTTAAAAAAACGCAATAATATTTTTAAATAAATCGAAAGTTAGTTTTTTCGCTACCTCTCGTTAAAAGAATCCATAGAAACGTGATTTAATTTAAACACAGGTAATTCTACAGACTTTTTTTCGTTAGACCTTAGATTCACTAACCTAGAAACTCAAATGAAAATCCACAAAGTGTAGAAACCCACAACAATCGTATATTTTACGCTCAGTGGATTCGAATAATATAAAATTTGGCAGCGAAACACCGGAACAGTCATAGAAACTGAAGTGGAAGATTGCTTAACCTCAATTGCATTTGGTGCATTATTTAAATTATACAGGTGTAATAGAGGACAAAGGGTAATTGTTTTTTAACCAGAAAATCACGTATTTTACATTCTGTTAAGGAGAAAATGCCAATTTAAACTTGCTTGGTATACAGTAGGCAAATAGAAAAAATAAATAGAAACATTCTTTTTATTTATTATTATGAAATTAGAAAATTTTATTAAGTGGGTTCTCGGGTAATAAAAACTTTTTAGGCAAATTTAGACGAAATTTAAAAAACACCCAGTATTTAGGTAATGAGGTAGACCCATTATTAATGGGTGATTTCGAATAATCAAAGTGTCCAACACTTACAGTTGAATATTGTACATTTCACTCTGAAACATCCGGTATTTCATATTTAATCAACATACTGTATATTCTTTAAAGGGACCTTAGAGGTAGTCGTTTTTCTCTGAATCTGCAGTCAACTCTCTTTCGTAAGTCTGTTTCTATATAGCCTTTTTTCTAATGCTTTTTGTTTTCTGGCTTAACCAAATAACCTTTGACCAAGCTATCCAAAGTGAATAGTCGATTTTGTTGAAGCCATTTGTCAGTTCATTTAGAAATTCTCTAATAGATATATTTTTAATAATTTAAAACTTACTATTTTAAATATTTCTTCCGAGAAAATTTAATATGTTTTAGTGCCTAGAGCATCATTAGAAATACATTTGCAGATTGTGTCCATAATTCAATCGATAACAAGTTTGTTTTCTTACTTTTGAGAGATTTTAGTACCTGGAACACATCTATCATCATTGGAAAAAATTACCCATGAAGATGGTGTCCATAATTATTTAACAAAAATGAGTGTCTTTATTACATTTAATAATTTAAAAAAAAAATACCTGTGAAGATGGTGACCAAAAATAAGATTGTATCTTTAGGCACCTTTACTAATTTTTAGTACCTGGAATACCAGCAGCACCACTAGGAATAAACACACATGAATGGAGATGCTGTCCAAAATTTCATTAGCGTCAAATTTATTTCGATACTTTAAGCAAATTTACCGAAACAGAATATTGTTTAAGTTTTTATTTCCAGACATATTGTAACAAGTTACATAAAGGTAGAAGTATAATATCTAATCACGGTGTCCATAATTTTTTTCAAAAATAAGTTTGTTTAGTTACATTTAATAATTTTTAATACTTCGATTATTTTAGAAAAAAATACATGTAGAGAAGGTATCCAATGAGTTTGTTTCCTTACTTTCACTAATTTTTAGAACCTGCAACACTTGAAGCACTGCTAGAAACAAAATACCCATGGAAATGGTGTCCAAAATGAATTGATAAATTACACCCATATAAGACTAATATCTGATCACAGTTCCCATAATTTTTATTAAAAATAAGTTTGTTTAGTTATATTTATTAATTTTTATTGCCTTTATCACCTTTAGAAAAAAAAAAATATGAAGATGGTGTACGCAAATGAGTTTGTTTTCTTACTTTTACTAATTTTTAGAACCTGTAACACCTGAAGCACTGCTAAGAACAAAATACCCATGGAGATGTTGTCCAAAATTTCATTAGTTACAAGTTCATTTTGATGAATTGCACCCGTACAAGAATAATTATGGGAACTGTGATTCCCATAATTTTTACAAGAAATAAATTTGTTTAGTTACATTTAATAATTTTTATTACATTTATCACCTTTAGAAAAAAATAACTGTAGAGATGGTGTACATAAATAAGTGTGTTTAATCAATTTGACTAATTTTTAGTAGCTGGAATTTAAATTTTTATTTCCAGACATATTGCAGTAAATTATATAAAGGTAGAAGACTGATAACGGTGCCCATAATATTTATTAAAAATATTTTTTTTTAGACACACTAAATAATTTTTATTACCTTTATCACCTTTGGAAAACATAACTGTAGAGATGTTGTACATAAATCAGATTGTTTCCTCACTTTTACTAATTTTGAATACCTAGAGCTCCTGGAGCACCACTAGTAACAATATATCCATGGGGATGGTGTCCAAAATTTAATTTGCAACAAGTTTATTTCGATGATTTACATTCATTTACCCAGCAAATACTAATTTCAATATTTTTTCCGAGGAGATCTGCAGCATCATTAGAAAAAAATACAATTGTAGAATGTGTTCATAATTCTATAAAAAATAAGTTTTAGTACCTGCAATACATTTATCTTCATTGGAAAAAATTACCCACGAAGAGGGTGACCATAATTTTCTTATCAAAAATTAGATTCTTTGGTTACATTTAAAAATTTAGAACAAATAGCTGTGGAGATGGTGTCCATAATTAATATTGTTTCTTAAAGTACCTTTACTAATTTTTAGTACCCTGAAAGACCTGGAGTACCGCTAGGAACCAAATACCCATGGAGATGGTGTCCAAAATTTCATTAGCGTCAAGTTTTTTTCGATACTTTAAGCAAATTTACCCAATCAGAATATAGTTTAAGTTTTTATTTCCAGATGTATTGCAACAAATTATATAAAGGTAGAAGACAAATATCTAATCACGGTGCCTATAATTTTTAGGTACATTTAATAATTTTTAGTACTTCGATTATATTTAGAAAAAATTACATGTAAGGAAGATTATAAATGAGTTGGTTTCCTTACGTTAACTAATTTTTAGAACCTGGAACACCTGAAGCATTGCTAGAAACAAACTACCCATGAAGATGGTGTCCAACATTTCATTAGCGACAAGTTTATTTTGATGAATTACACCCATACATCTGATCACAGTTTCCATAAGTTTGTTTAGTTACATTTATTAATTTCAATTGCCTTTATCACCATTAGAAAAAAAATATAGAGATGATGTACATAAATGAGTTTCTTTCCTTCATTTTTATTAATTTTAGTACCTGGAACACCTGGAGCACCACTAGGAACAAAATACCCATGGAGATGATGTCCAAAATTTCATTAGCGACAAGTTTATTTCGACAAATTTACACCCATTTACCCAATTGTAATATAATTTAAACGGATATGATGTCAACCACGAAGATGGTGTCCACAAATCTAAATTTCAAACCCCAATTACGCGGTAGCGGACGTGTTGGTAATAAAAAGGCGTGAACAATGATGGAAGACTCGTGTTCATATTTTATCTGATCGAAGTAGGCTAAGGAAATACATATTTATCAAATGCAGATGGGCGTGGATTGTTGTTTAAATGTTAAGTAATTCTTTGTAATAGAGCGTATAAATGAGAAGTTGGATGAGGTCAAGTGTAACGTGAATTTTTTTTTTCGTTTTATTGTTTTTGTTATGGACTTTTATGGCATTTAATATTGATTGTTGAAATCGTGAATTTGGTTAGTTTAATCGTAGTTATCATTTGTAATAATCGTTTCTTTAAGATGGAATGAAGGTTAAGTCAGTACGTGTTGAATAATTGCTTGTCAATTTTTTTCTATTGTTATTAATTAATTTTAATCGTGTATCTCTATTTCACCACTTAACTGATCATTTATTTCGAATTGTTTAATACAGTTATTCGTTTACTTGGAAAAAACTCACTCACGGAGATGGTTTCCATTTTATTTATTACTTGTAGTATCATTAGGAACAATTATCTGTGGAGATGGTGTCCATAAATTATTAAACCTCTAAAAACTTCTCAAATTATGATGAAAAATTAAATTAATATTGCCAGGGTCAGTTTTTAAATTGAAAGCTTTGCTCAAAGTAAAGTTTCTTAAATTGAAAAATAGGGTGATGGAATTGAAAATAAAACTTCTTATTTTAAGTATATACAAAATTACATCGCCATTTGTACGCCTCCTGTAAGTACAAATTTGGACAAGAAACAACAAGAAAATTAATTTATTTCCAGTGTATTTTACAGGTCTCCAACAAACATTTTGAATGATAAATTTAAAATGTTGCATCAGGTACTTATAACAGTTTTAAAGTAAACATTTTATTTTATTGCAGTTACAGAAAATTGTTTTATGCTAACCATTATCCTATAAATGTTCCCGCAACCACCTCTAAACAACAAATCGTTCTTGTTAGAGTTTTATTAGAGTTTTTACAACAGTTATAAGATAATATTGCAACAATATTATAATAGACTTCTTTCAAAACTTCACAATGAATCTTTTATATGAATTTCTCTATGTGATATGTCATCGAAATGTTACTTAAATTGAAAATCTGAACAATTACCTCTTAATAGCACTATCATGTGTATGAAAATTAGTAGAAAGTCTACTAAAGTTACACATATATAAATGAATATTAACAAATCATAAACCAGCAAAAGCGAATAACGAAATGAAGTAATTAAACAATTTTCTCTACTACTCGTTCATTCAAATTAATTTGCATTTAACATAATAAACCAAATGGTTATAATCCGTCGTTTGATTTCCATATTTGTAGGAACACGATTTGCATTGATGGAGGTCATTAGAGACCAGATGTACCCGGGAGGTGACAAAATGAAACCTGGTGCTAATCAGCGTTATTGAAGTCGATGTACAGTTGAATTGATTCGTGATAATGATAATGATGATAATGTCGATTTATTCTACAGGTTGTACATTTCA